AGCCGCAGGTGCTGAGATGATTGGAAAGTTGGAAAAAAAGCACCTAGACTTGACCCAGGTCCTGTTTTATAAACCTGGTTGTGTTGAGACCCCCGCAAAACGAAGATGCGCTGCTGCTCGGTTTCCAAGACCAGGCTGCAGCCCTTCCCGCTGATCCTAAAGGAGCAAAATAACCTTTCCCTGCAACAAGGACCTGGAGGGGATGGGAAGACAGAAAGGGGTAAAGGAATCTCTCCCCGCCGAAACGTGGGGACCTGCCTTAAGATTTCCAAATAACCCACACGCGAGGAGGTCACGTTTTGGAAGCGGGGGGGTGTTCAAAATGCGGGATAGTCACAGATTGTTGCTGATGTTGAATTTCCTGGGGAAAGATAGCTTTCCTGTCTCAAATCTGACAACGTAAACAGGATTAATTCACCATACGAAAACACATTAATACCTTCTCCACAAATGCAGAAATCAGAACAGAAAGCGGTTTTAACAGTGCCTACAATATTAATAGTTTGAACGTATGATCGTAAAAATGAAAAGCCATTGATATACACTTAAAAGCCGCCGTATACGCTGATTGCTCAAGCATTAATGAAGAATGCCCCAGATTAACTATTTGCTCTTCGAGGGATGCAACTATATAACTATCTATTAGCACCATTAGATGCTTTGCTGTTTATTTCAAAACACCCTTGCGAGTGGGCTGAGGCAGAAGAGATGAATGTAAAAATGCACTGTAGCTAATTTCGCTACATAATATCTGAAACCTGAGCGCCTCGCGAAGAAGGGGGAGATTCTCAACTGTCCTTCCCCGAGCCCAATCACAATGGCATTGCTCTGTTTTAAAAGTAAGGCTGCGTTGGTTTTCCAAATAGAGAAATACATCCCTCCTGCCATTTTACCGCAGATGTAAATTTATTTTAATGAGAGAGAGTGGAAGGATTTATTTTGCTAAAATAGAGTTTAGGATAGAGCCGGTGTAAATCTTCAGGGCTTAAAAAAAAAAAAAAAGGAGGAAGGAAAGGGAAGCTGCTTTCCTGGCAGAAAGCTGCCTAACAGTCCTCTAATTCTTTCTAGATTAAATCGCAATATGAATACAGCATCGAACAAATACCGAGTTTCGCTCTGAACTCAGTGGAAAGCAGTTACGTCTAACAGAATTCAATGAATTCCTCTTCTCCCTCAATGTAGTATGTGTGTGTTTTTCTCTTCCACCACACTGAAGTTCCATGAATAGGGAAAGTGGCTCCTATTGTGTGCCTCTGAACTTCCAAGTCAATGCAATTTTTAACCACTGGCTTGTGGTACTTTGAAAATCACCAGGGGCTGTCAGAGTTGGGTCCTCTGAAAAATTTACAGTGCTAAATCAGAGCATATGCTGTGAGAGAGGAAAAAAAATTGCTTAAGATTGGAGCAAGTACAGTATCTGTCTGCCCCCTAGTGTAAGTCTCTTATCTGCCTAAAATTCAACTTTAAAAGAAAAGGATCTCTTAAAGGGAAACGACTTTTGGCTCACGTATGCATTCGAGAATGAAACTTCTGTACATTTTAATCTGATTAATTCCTAAGGATTTAAAGTTAATTGGCTTGGGCACTCCTAGACCGGACTGTAAGATTTCTGCATCAGGGTTTCTGCGAGCCCTGTGCCTAATAGGTATTTTTAAGGAACAGTGGTAAGGGGGGGGGGATCCTGTTTTTTTTTTTTTAATGAGGAGCCGTGCCTCGCATGCTGTTGTCAGAGCAAAACACTTTTGCTGCCTAAAGTCAGATCTACGTCTTTTGCAATAATAATAATTAAATAAAGAGGATAAATAATTGCCTTAAAGCCTCCGCCGAAGTGCCAACCACACCTCCGGAGGGTGAGTATATTCCAGCTTCTTTCCATTGTACTCGCTTCAGCCGGGGAAGGGATGGCAGGGGGAGAGGGGCTCTCGGCGCGATACCTTCCCCACCGACCTCTTTTTTTTTTT